TTCGTGGATCAAAAACCTTCAGTGGTTGGTTTCTGCTTATCAGCCTGGGGGTGTACTGCACTGGGCAAGGCCAAGCAAAGTTTTTATGGGCATGAACATCTCAGAAGACCTACCTTGGGGATATAACTCAGTGGAGAAGTATTTCCCTGGTGTGTAAAAGTTCCCTGGCTGAACCCTGCTATTTCTCTAATATGGCTGAGATTTGAAGCCTGGTAGGAGGAAGGCCAGTGACCTGACAGGGCAATTATATTCTCTGCCTGCCTTTTTTGTACTGGCTGGGGCAGGATTGGAGGCACTAGAAATCCTAGCTGTTGGGTCATGGAAGGTCGCTGTGAGGTATATCAAGCAGGGCTGTCTGCAGTGCCCCGGATTCAATAACCAAAAGGAGCACGGGCAAACACAGCGCCTGCCAGCCACACTTTAAAGCAGCAGCGTTTCCAAGAAAAGATGCAGCTGCTTTCATCTGACACATTTGCCCTCCTGGTTTTGGAAGATCAACTCCGAAAAGGTGCCTAATTCTCATACCAAGATTGAGAAGCTGCCCATCTCCTAATGCTGCTGAATGCTGCTCCTTTCTCCACTCACAACTTCCAGTGTCTTTGACAATCCTCCAACCATGGTTCTGCCAAACAACCATGAAGGTGGGCTTTATTTAGTTTGAGCAATAGCTGGGTGATGCTCCGAAGACTCTGTAGATCACTGGGGTAGAGAATGACCCCAAACTCTAAGTGGTCCCTCTGGCAGTAGGGCCAGAGAAATGGGATGTTGGGAATTATAGCAACATCTGAAAGCCCACCCCACCCCATTGCACCTTGCTTTCCATACCTTTTGGGACTGTCTGAATCATACAGCATAGATCGGAGAGGGTAAAGGATTACTCTGTGCACTTCATTCATGCTCAGAAACACCTCTATGACATTTGTTACAGAAAGCCAACTTTTAGGGCTAAACTAGACAATTGTTTCAGAGATATTTCCTTGCCTAAACAGAGAAACAGAATGACCAAGGGCAAAAAAGCAGTGGGAGTGCGAGCGATTTGCGACTTCCTGCCGGCTTCTTCATTGACTTTGTGGGAAACTGCCAGGGAGCGTCATAGATCTCCCTCCCTCCCTCCCTCCTTCCTTCATATAATATAGGCTTGCACCATTTGCCCTCCCCTCATGACCCTCAGGAGAGCCTCTGTGAAGCCTCCTCCCCTCCTCGACTGACCCACAGAGCTGCCTGCCATTTTGCTGGGGGGAGGTGGAACAAAGGGAGCCATGGACCATGAGGAAAACTGCACCCCTGCTCCTCATTCCAACGTGTCCCAAAGGGCCCCCTCCCTTGAGGGAGGAAGAGGGCTCACCTGTCAACCGTTGGCATTCACCAGCCAGCCCTACCTCACCAGCAGGCATCCCAGTTGCTCCCTCATCTTTCCCTCAATGCCCACAGCCATTAAGAGATTTCAAATTTCTGCCTTGTTTCCAAAGCAGCCAATCGCTACTCACCCATTGGGCCTTGCTGCCAACTGATTGGGCACAGGGGACAGAGGAGGCAGGAAAGAGGTTGGGGATACGCCCATGACGGATCACATGACCTGGGCTGACCACGGCAGCCCAGCAGCACAGCAATGCTGAAACAGCCACAAATTCCCCAAATTTCAATCCCATAGGAGTAATGGGTCCTGGATTTTGGACGCATTCTGTAAGTTAGCCCATTTGAGGTATCTTGGTTCAAAAATTGTTGCCCTATGATGCACCTCCCATAGGAGTAATGGGTCCTGGATTTTGGACGCATTCTGTAAGTTAGCCCATTTGAGGTATCTTGGTTCAAAAATTGTTGCCCTATGATGCACCGTTTTGCCCAGTTGAATGTTACAGACACGAGAGTTTTAGTAGCATATAGAAGATGCTATAGAGAACATAACATGAAGGAAAAGGTGGTGGAGGAGAAATAGTCTGAATGACAGAGCGTGTCCAACAACAGCTTAGCGATGAGAATCTAAGACACGCTGGCTCATTTTTCTTCCGCTAATTAGTCCCCTAATTACTAGGCTGTTTTGCTTAATTAAAACCAGAGAGAGACAGGAAGGGGGGGATTTATTAGGGGTTCCACTCCTCTCTCCCAATCAGTGCTAATTAATATCATCTCCAACTGCAGGCTTAATGAGCTGCTAATTAACCATGGAAGGAGAAGGATTAATTCATCCTTTCCTCACCTGCTAGATTACTCACTTCCACCCCAAAGAGATGGGGCTGCCCATCTACACCCCCCCCCTCCACCCTGCTGAATGCTTCCAGATCCTCTCCCTCCACATCTATTTTCCACACACTCTGCCAGGCACAAAACTTTCCCAACCAGGAGTAACTTTCTGTTTCTGCAGGCGAAGGAATTTCCCAATCATCACGTGGCCGGTTCCCAGCAGAGGGAGGCTGAGTTGGACAGACAGTCAATAAATTAGCAGGTCAATGTCCAGCGCTGTTCTGGAGTGTGCGATGGAGGCAGGGTAGAGACTTGGCTCGGGAGGGAAACCTTTTATAACCAGAGGAGGTGGGGGAGGGTGGTCTTGCCGTTTTGCAGCGGCAGGATCGGCTTCTGCTCTGAAGCACATTTGCTTAATACGAGATAGGTTATGGCGCCCTCAACCTCCCCAGTCTCTCAGCCTCCACATACATTGTGGCTTTGGGTCGGAGAAGGCTGGGTTCGAGTTCTGCTTTCCTACCACTCAGCTTAGAGAAGCTGCCTCGGTTGAATTTCTGCCTGGCATGCAGTTATTAAAAGGCAGAGGACTGGTCACAAGGACAGCTGGATAACTGAGCAGATGTGCAGAAGAGGACATTTCTGCTTGCAAATTACTCGGGCTGCAGTGCCCTTCAGGGCATTCGATAGAGTTTCGGGAACCCTGTTCTCTGTTGCAACTGGATGTTCTATCAATACTGACCCTGAGATGACAAACCCATTAACCCCTTACCATCTGAGTAACCCTCTGTACTTGCTCTAATTGCACATTATTCTTTTTTAAGCTGTGCGCCCAGATCAAGATGCAATATTTGGGGGGGGGGGATCTGAGCAGGGCAGGGCAGAGTAGGAAAAATACTTCCTATGACTCTACTGCAGTGTTTCTCAACCTTGGCCGCTTGAAGCTGTGTGGACTTCAACTCCCAGAATTCCCCA